CAGTTTAGTACAAAAAGTTTCTTACAATAATTCTCTATTTCAATTCGTAATTTTCTAATTCAATTTAAATTTATTCAATTAAATTATTTATTCGAATTTTTTTATTTTGGGGACAGTGAAGAATCACCCATTGCTTGGAACGTTTTTAAGAATTGCACATTTTTGGTATCCATGTACACATCGACCTATTTTCACTTAAAAAAAGCCCAGAATTGCACAAAAATGGCATTGAGCACTCCCTTTACTTTATCCATGTACACATCGACATATTTTCACTTAAAAAGTCAAAGAAAATTGACGAAAATCGAATTCTTATTACTCTCGTAAAAAGCGCCAAACAAATAAGTGGGCGATTCTGCACTTTACCCTTTATGTTTACTAAAAAATGTTTTCCAAAACCATTTTTTCAAAAAAAAAAAAAAAATTACATCTTTATTAGTTTGCAACATCTGTTTTCTTAAACAGTAGCAGTTCACATTTTTTACTTTTTACACTTTTTAACCATGACTCAAAGTTAGCAACATTTTTGCACACAAAACAAGCATTTTGCATTTTAGATTTTAAATTTACAACATAGGTTTTTACAATAGCTCTCATAGGTAGCAGCTTTACACTCAACTTTACATTGTATTAGAACCCTTTATTTTTACAGTTATCAGTAACATACTACTCAACTCAACTAGTTTAGCAAATGCTAGTACAACTCAGAAATTCAAATATGTAGATCTAGGTAAGTTAAATTAAAACTTGCTATTTAATAGCCTTTTTATTATTTTTTTTATTTTTATATTTTGATAGTTGTATATAGTTTATTTTAGATTTACATGCATAATTCGTGTTGGGGAAGTTTCCAGAAGGCAAGGGTTTTTAAACACATTGAGCGCGGCGCCGAATTTGCTGTCCTTTCCGTTCAGCCGGCAGCGAGCTAAGCCGTATTTTTGTTTAGATTGTTTCAATACATTTCATTAAAACTAAATTTGATCACATTTCATTGAGACTATAATTATTTTTTAACTTTAATACTGTCGGTTCTGCGGACTGACGACAGCCAAACGAAAATTCCAGTGCCGATCCCTAGGGACCGACGTCGGCTACATGGAAAGTTCACTGCCGGCCCCCAGGGACCGACGCCGGCCACACCGAAAGTTCACTGCCGGTCCCCAGGGACCGGCGCCGCGTTCAAAATGTTAAATTACTTTGGTTTTCTACTCTTGATTGACTTTAATTAATTTTTACTCTAGTCATTTAATTGCTAATTTCTCAAAATTCCACTTGTTTAAATTTCTTTTTTAGGTAATTCACAACATTTGGTTTTACTTTTGGTTTTGAATTTTACTTTTACCGTTGCCTATATGGATGACGAAACGAATTGAGTAATTAAAGAGTTAGGTTTGGGGGTAACTTCCCCTTAAATCTGTCTCCTGCCTGCTCAACAATTATTCACTTATGCAATTTTTTTGGAATAATATATTTTTTCATGGTTTTAGATACGTGCAATTAATATACATATGCTCTTAGAATTTAAATGATATTGTAAATTAGTTCGCAGCAATAATAATTATTTTTATTTCTTTGCAAAAATTTCTTAATTAAATTTTAATTTTATATTTGCTTTATACGAATAGAGAATATTTGTTAAATTCAAATAATAAATGAATATAATATTAATAAAATGTAGTACTTACAATTTTGTGTGAAATTTTGTAAAGCAATTTTTACATAAAATGATACTGCACTGTATACAAAATATGACATGTCTTGACTGACAACCTACAAATTGGCAGCATCTTATGCATTTCACTGGCCTATATTATGATCTATCCTGTTATAATGGATATCATTACTAACACTGTTTCTTGATGTTGAAGGAAAGTTGTTAAACCAGCATTTTCAAACTTTTCTTCTGATCTATTTCAAATACTTTACAGCTACAGTTCTTCGGAAATCTTTCAATGTCATGTAATTAGATCCATGGATGTTTCTATGGCTTGCATTCACTAATGCCATGTCAATAATTCATATGAACAAACACCAATGACATGTTTTACCTTTAACTGCAGTACTGCCTCTTTTCTAACAAGTATTCATGATAGTCTACTCCTCCCATGTATTTGTATAATAAACATTAAGTATTTATTAAATATTATTGTATAATTAAATTTAATATATTAAGTATACCTAATATATTAAATACTTTATACATTAAGTACCTATTAAATTCCATTGTGAGATTGTTACTTTATCCTTCTTCCCAACAGACCATCTTTGCATTTTTGAAGTGCATTCAGTGTTATTAAAATAGTCGTAATTGCCATGCAGTTCTTCCATCTAACTATCATTATTTCATTCTTTTCATCAAATGGATAATCATATGAGACATGTGACATTTTATCCAACTTACTGGAAGATTTTATTATACACTTTTCAGTTCTGTTGTCTCATACAGTCCCAGTAACTCGAATGTTCCCCCCAGTTTATGCAGAGAAGAATAGCTAGTGAAAAATTATCAAAAATTAAATGTATGGCATGATGGATTTTCTGCAATGGATAACATATTCACTACAACTGTTTGTCCCAGTAATCCTAAAGCATGACTCTCAAATTGTGCTTTAGGACTCGACTTAAATTAACCCACAATACAAAGAAAATTTAAAACAGTATCCACTATCACCACGGATTGCCCAGAGTTTGTAAATAAAATGTATTGGCTTAGCTTTTATAAACTCTTTTAGAGAATAATGATCATAGTACCTTATAATTATTTCATTGCCACACATTTATTGAAAATTCCTTCCCGCTTTAACTTTTCATTAACTTTTTCTAAAAGGGGTCTTATTTTAAATGATTTGTTGTGCATATTTTTAGAGACTTTGAAATTGACCTGGAAGTTAATATATAATTTTATTTTTAAGTAATTCCTGGTTAAAGTATTCTGAACTATCTCAATTTTTAAGTCTTTTGCTGCACTCCAATAATCTCTTTCATTTAGAAGAGTATGATAGCCAGCAAAAAATTAAAAACCTTATGAATGTATTCTGAGGAAATAATAAACTATGATATTTTTTAACATGTTTAGATTAGCAGATTGTCACTTTAATGATTAAATTACATACTTCATCAGTAAGAAATTTTCAAACATTTTAATGATTAAATTACATACTTCATCAGTAAGAAATTTTCAAACATAACAACTTGGAGATACATTTTCTAGGTCAGTTTCTAGTGCCACAAGATAGTCCTTATATTTTCCCTCTGCTTCCATCCGTTTTGTGTAATTTGTGTTTTCATTGTCCAGATTTATTTTTGGCTTTTCTGTTTTTAATATTTTAGCCTTTTTCTGAGAAGTTGAAGGCAATTCCATTTTTTCAAGGGGGGAGAAACAGCAGTCTCTCTTTACCCAGCAGTATCTCATATAAGTAGAATACCTAAAATTCTCATTGTCAATTTCTTCTTCATCCATCAGTTAGTCAACTTTAGGTGGTACAGCAATAATATCATCTTTAATTTCCTTAGAAAACAAGCATTCAACCACACCTTACACATTAGTAAATATTTCCTTATTCATATTTTCAATCTAAAGAAAAATGAAAAGACAATTATTGTGCAGCCTACAGTAGGAAAAAAAAAAAAAAAAACAGTGGAACACCTAGTGATATATTTAATGGTACAATAACATTTGGTTGTGAATATTGCTTTTGCGTATCCCATGTGCAGTTTCATCACTGTAGAATGCACTAAAGGTCAGTCATCTAAAAACATACTGTTGGGCTTTAATATACTGTTGTGTCAAAACATACTTAAACATACTGTTGGGTCAAACATTTTAGCAAGCATTTTTCATTCCTATTTCAGACGTGCCTTATTTTCATTCAGCTGAACAGTAACAAAATGAAAAAAAATCTAACGGAAACGTAATTTGGCTAAAAATCAAAACAAGGGGAAAAAGTGTGGATTTACATCATTGGATTGGTCCCAAATTATCATAAATTAAAGGTTTATAATTTCAATAATGTGTAAATATAATTTAATAGAAGTATTTATAGAATAGTAAGGTTTGAGATCTTCAGAAGGATTAAAAATTATGGGAGTGCCTCCCTGCGAAAAATTCCATCTTTGAACTAATGATGAATGTTTCTTTAATCGGTTATTGTAAAGCACACAAAGGCTATCTGCCTCGTTTGCTTTGCCATAATTGATAAGAGAACTGATAACACTGCCTAAAGGCTAGGAATATCTTCATGGAGGATTTTCTAAAGAAAATTGGTATGTATTTGCATTGCACATATGGAAAACTATTATTACTGGTGTGTAATTAACAATTAAAATGTGCAAAAAATAGGAAAAAAACAGAGCAAATCAGAGGTTAAAAGGTTTTGTTATACAAAAGTATATTTTAGAACACAAGTCTTAGAATTTACTTCTGTTTTTGTTTAAATAACAAATATATCTGTACTTGCAAGAATATAATATTTCATTTATGCTCAATAGATTTAAGGTACATACATTATGAGTATAGGCTATTTGTTATGAATATTACATACTCTGTAGCTATATGTACAGGGTAATTGAAAGACATTAACATAACAGCATATTAAAATACTATTATTTTTCATCAAAAAGATGTTTAACCATGTAATTATCATCTTTACAAATTTTTGTTAATTAACTTGAAATCAAATATCGCTTTAAATTAATTAATTATAAGCTTAAAATTAGTTATTATTACTCGCGATACTTTTGATATGACTTTATTTGATTTACTCATCAGTTACCGTAGGTCTCATGTATTTTACTGACTTTAAAGCACGTATTTGTACATTTCATTTTGAGTTACTAACTTTCATTTGAATATGACTAAGTTTTGCCTGTAGTATATAATTATTCAAAGTTGCTATTTAAAATGTATTAGAACGTAGACTGTTTTTAACTGTTAATGACATTTTTAAATTCAATTTTTATAATTACTTTTCCCCTGTGTCCTACTTTTTTTTACAACATAGGTTGCTAAAGCTTTAAAAGAAAAGCAGCAAATTCCAGCTGAAGACATATATATACAAAAAAGGCTTGCAAAGTATGTGAACAGATTTTTAAATACTAAAAAATAATTATGTTATATGAATGAAAAGTATGTTTTCAAAATCAAACTGGCTTGATAATTTCCAAAATTTTTTATTATCAATTTCATTATTTTTATAGGCCCTATAAATTACAATTATAAAAATCATAAAATAAATTTGGTATCTGTTGAAGCATAAAGAAATTCCTCTCCTAATATCATAGATTAGAATAAATCTATATTAGTGCTGTAAAAAAGTGGTTTTACGTAGTTTAATTGATAGTCTTCTGCCATGTAGTATTACTAATGGTTGGTATTTAATATCACCAACATATCAACTTCATTTGGGGGTAATTACAACATTGGTGTATAATACAGTCAAAAGTCGTTAATCCGGACTCGTCGGGACTTCGGCGATTCCGGATTATCGATCATCGGTTTAAATCTGGTAAGATGGCATGCAGAAATTACAAAATTAAAAATATGAAACCGTAATTTATGAAATAAAGAACAATTATGATCTAAAGGGTATCAAAATTTACAAAAAGAAAAAGCTTAATATTTATTTGTTTACTTTATTAAACATTTCTTTCAATGTAAGTTGCTTCGTTTCATGTGACAATACTTTCTCTTTAATTCTATTAAACAGACATCATTTCTTGTTTAGTTACAAAGTTCCGCTGTTCAAGTCCTATAATTGCTGTGTTGAGAATACCGACTAATTTGTCAATCGAATTTTTTCGTTTTCAATAACCCTCTGTCACTTTTTCTTCACTATCGGAAGCGAATTATAATGACGAGGAACTTGATTTAAATCATATCAAAGACGGAGTTACATCGAGATGAAATACTACACTTAGTAAGGAATTATAAGCCAAAATAAATAAAACATCTGCCCTGAAGATAAGGATAGTGCTGACAGATCAACTTCGAATCCGCAGCGTGAAATTGATAAACAGATTTCGGATTTCAAAACATATTTTCGCTTTGTAGATACAAATTACATATTAGTAAATATATATCGGAAATTCTATTTGACATAATCGAAAGTTCAAGCTTACTTTTATGAAATTGCTCTAACAGTCTGCAAAAAATAATAAGCCGGATCCAATTCGAAGATTAAGGAACAACGCAATCTGCAACATTAACTGAATTAGATAATTTTAGCTTAGTTTATACCTCCCTTACACATTAAACGCGCATGCGCACAAACATATTCGCAACCGTAAAGGTCTTATGCGCACTCTTAAACGCCTGTGCGCATGCGTCGCGTTCACGCATGCGCACAAAGTGTAGCTTTGAGGTCCGGATTATGGTTGTCCGAATTAACGACTTTTGACTGTATCAACTTCATTTCACCACACACCTAAAATTTCACTTCGTTATTTAACCTTCTTGAACAGTTGCATTTATCAATGCTTAGCACAATATGTGAGTTACATATAAAACACTGATCTGCTATAGAGGTTTGCTTATTAAAATGTTGCAATTAATCAAAATTCATGGAAATATAATAATTATTCGCATCCATACAATCATTGTATGGAACTGATAAGTGGCAATGCATCGAATATCATCAAGTTCTCAAATATTAAGAAATTCTCAATCAGTATATAAAATCATGCTGGTAATTTTTGGAGATGCAAGGAACATAATTTTCAATAAATTTCTGCCTAAAAAATTGCAATTAATTCTGAAAGTTTAAAATTTTGAATGCTCAGGCAACTAATCTGCAAAATCTGGCATAAAAGATTTTTTACCCCTTTAAAACAAAGCTCTTCACTCAAGCAATGATGAAAATAGTGACAATACTGAAATTTGCTCTTGTTCCATGCACTCCTTGCAGCTCAGATTTGGCACAGTCCTGTTTACAGTTCTTTTTTCCAGCATTGACAGAAGTGTACAAAAGTCGACATTTTTCTCCTGAAATAGAATTTTCTGCGCTAGACTATAAGACTCAAATGTAAACCACAATCCTTTTTTTGATCCAGCAGCAGATCGGATCCACCAGCAGAAAAGTAATGTCATTTTTGTATGATGAAATCTGCCGCGGCCTTTGACCACCGTGTTTTTTTTTTTTTTTTTTTTTTTTTTTCTTTTCTTAATTGGTACTCCAGAAATGGCATATAGAATTACTTGCATGGAATGCTTCTAGAAGAGATTAATGAAGAGCAAATGGCACGAAGGAGAAAAAAAACTGTCCATACCTAGATTATAACTAAAGTAGATGGCATTGCAGTGCAAGGTTTGATTGCTTCACAGTCAAATGCTAAAAATTCTAATCTGAAAATGTATTCTTATTCCAATAAAATCTAATATCTTTAAAGATATTCACCATGATTTGCTTTGTTTTGTATTCAAAGCTTTTCCAATAAAATTCCTTGATATCACATATTGTTACAGGAATGTTTGGATGTTTTGAAATGTCTTAACTGTTGCCACATTTCCTCAGTATTTTCAAAAGACCCATGAAAATATTACCAAGGGATTACAGTTAGTATATCGAATGAGGTGTTAGAGAAATTATAGTTGCCTGCTTGTATTGATGTGCTCTAATTAGCTATATTGATTAAATCAGATTGTGTACGTGAATGTAATGTCTTTCTAAGCCCAATAAAACTGCTAGTGATTTCTCGACTGAAGAAATGTTTTCCATAATGTGTGTAAACCACTCTGTTAAAAATATGAATGTAACTCAAACAGATGGGTAAGAGCTTGCCAAATGGCATCTAGTGGGTTACCCTTCATGGGAGACATATTAGTTCTTGGGAATGTTTTGAGTGGAGGCTGTAACGATAATGGCAGTCATGCAAATAACAATAGTGATGGTAGAATCTCATTCAGTATGAGTTAACACTGTTTTTCTCATTTTCAATTTGTTTTATTATGTAGGCAGCCATGCTGTAAGCAATCGAATGTTGTGTCTCGTCAGCAGTACATTTGTATTTAATAGCTGTTTTAAAATGTACACTGCTCAAAAAAAAAAATGGGACAGTCCTATATCTCCCGATCTACTGGGCCGATTGACAAAATTCAAATTGCGTTCTTCATGTCTCGAAAGCGCGACTTAGGATATATATTAGATTTATATATAGCACTATTCTAACATAGGTATTTTGACGCAAAATCGGACTTTTTCTGAAATAACATACCAATTTTTTTACATATTTCGATTCTACGACTCAAATTACGCCTAAATATGAAATTTTGTAAAATTTGGAGCGAAATTTACGGAGAAATTCACAAATTTATGTTGGCACTTTTTTTGTCAGTTTGCGCCAAGAATACTTCACTTGGCGAACTTCTTAATATATGCAACCTAGTTTCCTTAGGAAAAAAAGTCACCATCGTTCCTTTTTTCCAAATAATATTCTTTATATTATATTTTTAATTATAACTTATTATTTTAAGTAATTTTTTTCTTTTCAATTTCATTTTAAATTGTTCAAGTTTGCACTTTTTTTTTTTTTTTTTTTCTGAATAACTGTTTTAAAATTTCTATTTACCTATTCGAACTGCGTAAACAAAGGTGCAGCGTTTTTTTTTTTTTTCAAATAGTTTTCTTTATATATATACTTTTCGTCATACCTATTATTTTAGGTCATTTTTAAATTTTTATACTTTTATTTTAATTGTTTGTGTTGCATTGTCTCTTCAGATAATTGTTTTAAAATTTTGTATTTATTCCTTCGAACTGAGCATTTTAAATATATTTATTAATATCAATTTTCCAGAATTTGATTTTATTTATTTGAAGTGCGTTTTTTTTCGGAAGAATACTTTGTAACCCAGACTACGATGCGTTTGAAAACTGCATACTATATTAAAAGAGAAAAATGGGACAGTCTTATATCTCCCGATCTACTGGGCCGATTGACAAAATTCAAATTGCGTTCTTCATGTCTCAAAAGCGCGACTTGGGATATATATTAGATTTATATATAGCACTATTCTAACATAGGTATTTTGACACAAATCGGACTTTTTCTGAAATAAAACATACCAATTTTTTTACATATTTCGATTCTACGACTCAAATTACGCCTAAATATGAAATTTTGTAAAATTTGGAGCGAAATTTACGGAGAAATTCACAAATTTATGTTGGCACTTTTTTGTCAGTTTGCGCCAAGAATACTTCACTTGGCGAACTTCTTAATATATGGCAACCTAGTTTCCTTAGGAAAAAAAGTATATGAATGTAGTAAAGCACAGTTTTACACGCCTTTCAATGTTCCATTCAGAAAAATATATATAAATAAGAGAGATGTATAACCGATATTTTAACTTAGGATGACTTGCATACACTGCTTTAAACAGTTTTATCATTGTGCCCATTGCTTTACACAATTTTATCCTACATTTGGTTTCTTAAAATGTTATTCATATTTTAGTCAAATATTTTATTTTTGAAATCGCAAGAATCAAATATCATAAGATTGAAAAGTTTTTTAAATTTAAAAAAATACGAATACTAAATTTTTACGAAAAAATTTATTTTTCTTCTCTGTTTCTTTACGCATTCTGAAAGTATATTGAAAAGTATCCAACTTTTCGAAACATTTTGGTATTTCTGACAATCATTTTAAATAAAGTTATCGCCTTCCATTTCATAAAGGCCCACAAACGTTCGAGCGGTAAAGTTGCTGAACACTGGTAGTTCACTCCGGGGTTCGAACCCGGTAAACGGGCTGGTTGCATGGGCGTTTTCGTGGATTTTCTCATGTGTACCGCGTATGACAGCTGGTTTCCCTTAGAAAGTTCTTCACAAAGTATTTCGTCAGAGCCTTTATCAGTCTTTAGAGGCTAAACATTTTGAAGCTATGAGATGAAAGGAAAGACTGGTTTCATCAAAGGTTTTGGTTATTTTTATTATGACAAAGCACACTACGGCTATCTGCCTAAGGGGAGGGATGCCTTCTTGAGGACTTTCTAAGGGAAACTGGCTCGCATACACGTTACACATGGGGAAAACCACAAAAACGCCCATGCAGCCAGCCCGTTCGCGGAATTCGAACCTCGGACCAACTACCAGTGTTCAGCGACTTTACCGCTCGGCCGCTGTTTCATCAGGAAGGGAAAAAAAAAAAAAAAACATCGTTTAAGTGACATCCACATACATCACTGGATAAACTCCTGAATCTTCAAATAATTCGACTGAGGAAATCATGGGATTCTCCATTTATGATATAATATGATGTTCTATGAAAATAAAATGTTGACCTATAAAACTTTATAGGTAGAATTTATACAACCATATAGTTTAAAACCAGTCGCTCTTCACTTTAATCTGCAATGATATCGTTTTTGTCTTTTCCTGTTAACACAAAGCTCAGTTTGCTGGCTATTTGCTGGTGTACTGGTCCAAGTGTTTTCTCTTTGAACATCCTAAATTCTTGAAGTAGATTCCTTTGAAAGTATATTCGAAAGCGTCCAACTTTTTGAACATCTTGGTACGTCTGACAGCCAATTTCCCTGCAAATTTTTGCTTACTTTTCTCCCTAATTTTCTTCTTTCCTTCTACAGTTATTTTCAGTGCTCACACAAGAAAATTAGGATTTTTCGATTGCTAGACTTCCATAAATTTTGCATTCTTGTCAATTTTTTTAAAATATTCAAGTTGCATCATGAATAGCATTTCAGCTAAAGACAGCTTTTCATTTTCTAGTCATTTTTAAGCTATAAATAAAGTTTAAAGCGAAGTCCAAAGGATAAATATTTTTAATTAAAGATTTTTGCTAAATGACAAAGAAATAAAACAGTCCAGCAGGGTTTATTCTGTACCACAGAGTAACCCGATTCTATATCGGCTGAAACAATCTAAATCATAATAAAGATCATGTTTTTTTATACAATCTATAACACGAGAGAAAAATTAGCTTCTTAAAACATGCTTTCTAAGAGAATTAATATAAAAATTTATATTTATATATATATTTTTTAAACTTGAACCAAACTGTCAAACTTTTAAAGCTTATTTTACATGGTGGTTATTATTAAAGTTCCACTTTGAAATTGTCATAAAAGGAAAACTACCGGACCAAATGTTATCAAACTTGGGAATCGTGTAAAGGAGGTTATGAGAATTTATTTTCGGCAGAAAAAAAAAGAGTTAAAAAACTCACCATCAGGGGAAAAATGGCGCTGTATACAATATTGTTAAATGAAATAAGACACGAAAACATCTGTTTAAAATGTGTTTAATATTTTCCGAAACGTGTTACAAAGCATGTTCAATGTAGCGTCCAGCATTTTCCGAAAGCAAGTTAAATCATGTTACTGCATTCTCAACAGCAGCTCTTAGCATATCAGGTTGGTTTTGGTTTGGTTTTATTAGATTACGGCAAAGCACTCGAGGGCTATCTGCCTTAAGGGAGGGATGCCTTCGTGGAGGACTTTTTAAGGGAAACTGGCTCGTATACACGTTACACATAGCATATCAGGAGAAATGTTATCAGTGTATCACATTTTTCATTTCTGCCAAATTGTTTAGATTATCACCATACACAGTGAGCTTTACACAGGCTTTTGAGATAACCTCATAGACAAAAGTCACAGAGGTTGAGGTCTGGTGGGAAGAGGGGAAGTGTTGGCCTATAATACGTTCATTCGTGAAATGTTGCCTATGTAACTATGCGACACTCTTGAGGTGGTGCCCAGTCCTGCATAAAAATCGTAGTATCTAAAATGCCACGTTACTGCAATTCATGTATCACGAAACATTTTAATATTGGCTCTAAGTGAGCTGCAATCGCAGTGGTCCAGCTGTCGACTGCTCTTCAGAAAAAAATGGTTCAGTTATAAAACTAGCTGTCATTCAACAATAAATGGTGTGAAATGACTGTTATGCAATCGAATGCAGTAGGAGAATGCAATGGAACTAGATAGATAACATGAGAGATTTCTTTGGCCCAAATCGATTAAAAGTGTTTTGAATCAGTATCTTCATGTTTTAGTGCCGAATTCAGGCTTAAAAAATTACAAATTAGCAATCTGTAAGAAAACGATTTCCAGATTGTACGCACTTGTGAGAGTGATTTGCGATCTCACATTTTCTAATCGCTAATTCGTGGTTTTCACGGACGAAATTCTCACTTACAGGGATGGCGCACTCGACATTTTATCGAATTTAACTTCTTTAAATAATAATTTGCCTACTTCAAAGTTTCTTAAGGGTATACAACATATTAAACCCGTTTAACAAAAGGTTAAGTTAGATTCCGACCCATATTTCGTTTAACAATATTGCATACAGCGCCATTTCCACCCTGGTGGTGAGGTTTCGTACTTCCTTTTATTCGCAGAAAATAAATTCCCATGACCTCCTTTACACGATTTCCAAGTTTGATAACATTTGATCCAGTAGTTTTCCTTTTATGACCGTTTCAATGTGGAACTTTAATTATAACCACTCTGTATATTATTAAATTTTAATTTGAAGCTATGCGTTATATGTATTCCATGCGTAAATTTTCGCTTTTATGGAAAAATAAAAAATCGAAGCAAATATACTTAGTATAATGGACCAAAAACTGAAAAACATTTCCCCTCCCTCCGAAAATAAAATATTGAAATTTCGAACTTGAATTTACTGGGTTATCGAAATATTAAATTTGACTTATCTTCTAAGTCCTAGTTCCGA